TCTCGGGGGCAGAACGACGACGAGGCATGTTCAAGAAATGATAAAAATAGAGGGAGGTTTTCCACGAAGATCCCCAAGAAGGCTTCCCGGGGGTCGATCGCTGGATGGCAACCAGAAAACACCTCCGGTAACCGAAAAATCAAAAGAGACAGAAGGGCAAAGAAATGGAGGATACTGGAACTCACCAGAGCGTAAGAAAAGGTATTTTCTGGAAAACTTGAATCGATTCCTTCCCAGAATGTTCAGAAACAAAGGATGGGTCTGCTTGCTTTGAAGCTTCAGTGAAAAGGTTGGGTAGTTAAGAAACAGAAGAGAAGAGGTCTCCAGCGAAAATTCAGACGAGGGCTCTCTGGAAGAAAAGTTCAGAATGACGAAATGAGAAAAAGAGGGAGGAAGCCCATTTATATAGTACCGGTCTCATCATTGGGCGTGAAACACGAAAGGGCGCATTTAATGCGCACGACTCCCTAAGCAAGGGAAAGCGGCTAGAGGCAATGATGAAGCAGTTGAGGTTGTTGGGAAACCCTTCGTCTCCTTACGACGCGTGTCCTCGGCGTCAGGAGATCAAAGGCTGGGGGGCAGTTGATGGAACTTTTCTGAAAATACTCTAAGATGAAGATATGTGTCCTCGGCGTCACTGAAAAACCTGTTAACAGAGATCACGTACCATCGGCTTTACAACTCTCTCGCCCGAGGTACTTGACACGTGTCGAGTACGTTTTACGTACCGACACGTATCCCTCGGTCTGGTATGGTACCTCGGTCATCATGTACGGCTTCCCTCGGCTTGAGATGTACCTTTCCTCGGTACCGAGATGTGCATGTCCTCGGTACCGAGATGTACCTCCGTCCAAGATGCCTTTTTCTCTGCTCTAGTATAAGTTATTGATGTACAGGTCATTAGCCTAGGCTAGTTTAGGTTAGCTATCATGGTCTCGTCTTACGCAAATGGTGTCAGAAGGAACAGGAAGGCAGGGTCCACAGCCAATAAGGGATGGATGCGTGGCAAATTGTGTCACATCAGAGACAGAAAGACCGCATGCCTTTACTGACACGCGACTTGGAAAAACAAACATTTAATTACACCATTCCCTTGATGAGACCGCATTCAATGCGGTAAGGCTCGGAATTGAAAGGCAATAAATGTCTCTAAGGCTGGGCATTTATTGCATCCTCCCCGAGCGGAGATCATTAGACAGTCGGCAGCCCGATGACACANCAGCCGCGTCATAATCCTCTACCTCTACATTCGGTGAAACGCCATACCTAACCCTAAATCTATTAATTTGTTCACCACCTTTTACTTTATACTTCTCTGGCCTCGAAGTACTAGCCTGAGGATTCTCGGGGGCAGAACGACGACGAGGCATGTTCAAGAAATGATAAAAATAGAGGGAGGTTTTCCACGAAGATCCCCAAGAAGGCTTCCCGGGGGTCGATCGCTGGATGGCAACCAGAAAACACCTCCGGTAACCGAAAAATCAAAAGAGACAGAAGGGCAAAGAAATGGAGGATACTGGAACTCACCAGAGCGTAAGAAAAGGTATTTTCTGGAAAACTTGAATCGATTCCTTCCCAGAATGTTCAGAAACAAAGGATGGGTCTGCTTGCTTTGAAGCTTCAGTGAAAAGGTTGGGTAGTTAAGAAACAGAAGAGAAGAGGTCTCCAGCGAAAATTCAGACGAGGGCTCTCTGGAAGAAAAGTTCAGAATGACGAAATGAGAAAAAGAGGGAGGAAGCCCATTTATATAGTACCGGTCTCATCATTGGGCGTGAAACACGAAAGGGCGCATTTAATGCGCACGACTCCCTAAGCAAGGGAAAGCGGCTAGAGGCAATGATGAAGCAGTTGAGGTTGTTGGGAAACCCTTCGTCTCCTTACGACGCGTGTCCTCGGCGTCAGGAGATCAAAGGCTGGGGGGCAGTTGATGGAACTTTTCTGAAAATACTCTAAGATGAAGATATGTGTCCTCGGCGTCACTGAAAAACCTGTTAACAGAGATCACGTACCATCGGCTTTACAACTCTCTCGCCCGAGGTACTTGACACGTGTCGAGTACGTTTTACGTACCGACACGTATCCCTCGGTCTGGTATGGTACCTCGGTCATCATGTACGGCTTCCCTCGGCTTGAGATGTACCTTTCCTCGGTACCGAGATGTGCATGTCCTCGGTACCGAGATGTACCTCCGTCCAAGATGCCTTTTTCTCTGCTCTAGTATAAGTTATTGATGTACAGGTCATTAGCCTAGGCTAGTTTAGGTTAGCTATCATGGTCTCGTCTTACGCAAATGGTGTCAGAAGGAACAGGAAGGCAGGGTCCACAGCCAATAAGGGATGGATGCGTGGCAAATTGTGTCACATCAGAGACAGAAAGACCGCATGCCTTTACTGACACGCGACTTGGAAAAACAAACATTTAATTACACCATTCCCTTGATGAGACCGCATTCAATGCGGTAAGGCTCGGAATTGAAAGGCAATAAATGTCTCTAAGGCTGGGCATTTATTGCATCCTCCCCGAGCGGAGATCATTAGACAGTCGGCAGCCCGATGACACAGCATTGATTGCTCGGCGCCCCCGAGCAGTTAAAGAAAGGAAGACATTCCTCATCAGAATCAGTGCGCACACTGCCAGTACCTAATGATCATCTACTGACAACACTGACAGCAATCATGAGTTTTTGAGGTATAAATACTCCTCATAAAAGGCAAAACGGTATGCAACAAGAGACTCTTTACTACGAAATATACTCAGTGCTTTCTTCTTCCTCTCCCTTTCAAAAACTGACTTGATCGTCGGAGGGGATAAGCCAGAAAACACTCCGGCGCCCTTCTAACTTGTCCTCCTTTGTTCCAGGGACCTTTTCCCAGCCTTACTGGATCATTCCTTCAGTTCACGAGAGTCTCCCGTTACCGTTCCAGGTTACCACCGGACCTCACAGGCTGTCCCAAGCAGCGTGGTTGATCACTCAACTGAATCACTCGAGTTCACCAAGGGAGAGATATGTTCTCGTTTTTTATATTGTGCAAGATCCTGCACACACAGTGATAAACGAGTGATATGTGTAAAATTCAAAATTTTAATGAACAAGATTTTTTCGTTGTGAGGAATTTTTTGAATAATGATTAACACTCCAACAACAACAAAACAAATAAAGAAACATCTTATCCATTAAAACTTAAAATTTTACAAATCTCACTCATTTAACACTCTATTGAGAGAAATTGAAAGAAATGGATAATGAAGGGGATCTAAATTCGTCGATAACCACTATTTATAATCTTAACATGAGTAAAATTTGTTTACTAAATGTTTCAACCTAATCCATTTATAGTAATTGTGTCAAAATCTTCAATCCAAGATCACTAATTTCGTATCGTATTAAGGAATCATATCAAAAGTTGCGACGAGACTGTCATCATTTTTAATAAGGGTATAGATATGAACAACATTAATTTCATTTTGACCTAAATCATCACAATTATTATTTTGATAGCAGTTCTCAACTCATATTGAGACTCACTATCAATGTTATGACAGTGATTTTTTAAGTCAACAAAGTAAAAATAAATTAAGTTTAAATAATAATTTTCTATTACTACAAAGGGTAGCAATAGAGTCTTTTGCTTTTTTGCCTCTTGTAGTATCAAAGTGATGTTATTCAACCCGTAAGAGTAGTTCAACGATGTGGTTTAGACTTGTACAAACCGTAAACTCAGATATCATAGGTTCAATCTCATTAGTGTCTTCGATTTTAACTGATACCTATGATTTACAGGTAATTACAAATATTCAGAGTTTACACTTGTAAGGGTTTTTCCTACCATCCACAAAAGGATTCTAGCTGACCTGAGTGACCACTCAATAGCCTTTACCTCTCGTCCCACTATGAGGTACCTCCTCCATAGTGGGTGATCACCTATATGGTAGGGGGGAGACGACTCTCCCAAGTGGGTAGGAGGTACCTCATCTATAGTGGGTGGTCACCTATATGGTAAGGGGAGGGATGGTCACTTATATGGCAAGGGGGAGACGACTCTCTCAGGTGGGTGGGAGGTACCTCCTCCATAGTGGGTGGTCACCTATATGGTAGGGGGGAGACGACTCTTTCCCGATGTGGAGCGAGAGATAAAGGTTATTAGGTGGTCACCCAAGTCAGCCAGAATCCTTCTGTGAAAGGTAGAAAAAATCCTTACAAAAAGGTCATATAGGTAACCACCCACTATGGAGGAGGGACCTCCTAGGTAGGAGACGACTCTCCTAGGTGGGTAGGAGGTCCCTCCTCCATAGTGGGTGGTCACCTATATGGTAAAGGGAGGGGTGGTCACCTATATGGCAGGGGGGGAGACGACTCTCCAAGGTGGGTAGGAGGTACCTCCTCCATAGTGGGTGGTCACCTATATGATAGGGGAGAGACGATTCTCTGCCGACGTGAGACGAGAGATAAAGGTTATTGGGTGGTCACTCAAGTCAACCAGAATCCTTATGTGGAGGGTAGAAAAAACCCTTGGTCACCTATATGGCGGGGGAAAGTCGACTATCTCTCAATGTGGGACGAAAAATAAAGGTTACTGAGTAATCACTCAGGTCAGCCAAAATCTTTATGTGGAGGGTAGGAAAAACCCTTAGAACACTCTTAAAAATGGGTCCAATGTGCTCAATAAAAAAAGAAAGTAGCATCTCGGTTATTATGATAAGTAGACGATTAGGAGCGCCAACCAAGGGAATCATGATCCCTCGTTAGAAAATCCAGTCCAAATGCTGTAAGCCAACTCCATTGACAAAGTTAAAACAAAGGAATATGCATCTTAATAGGGACAGATCTCTCGGATCCTATCATCCTATCTTAATAATGTCCTCATAAAAAATTATCAGCCCCGATGGAGTGACATTGATTTGAAAATTGTCTTATTTGGGTGATAACTCTCTATAAAATCCAAGGTATCTCCTCCTACATAAATTCAATACTCCACAGTATCATACAAGTTCTGGCAATGGAGTTTTCCCTCATCGTGCCTCTACTTCTCTGCGTTATTCTCTTCGTCTATCTTTCTTTTCGCTATCTTATTAAGCAAAACACGCACCAACCATCCTCGGAGAGCTTGAGAAATGAAGAAAATTTTCCACTCCCACCAGGCAGGACAGGTTTGCCTCTAATTGGTGAAACCATGGAGTACTCCTCCATGGTTCGAAATGGAACTCCTGAAAAATTCGTGGCAGATAGGATAAAACAGTTTTCCCCCTCAGTTTTTCGAACCTCGTTGATTGGACAACCCATGGCGATGTTATGTGGCCCCGAGGGAAACAAGTTCTTGTTCTCGAATGAGAACACCCTAGTTGAGATGTGGTGGCCGAGCTCTATTGACAAAATTTTTCCCAAGTCCTCACACAAAAATTCTGCCAAGAACGACTCTGCTAAAGCTCGCAAAATATTCCAAACCTGTCTTAAGGGTGAAGCTCTTCAAAAAAACGTGTGCATAATAGATGCAGTAGTGAAAGATCATTTAAACACGAATTGGAATCATTCAGAACTCAAAGTTTGTCCTGTGGTAAGTAAGCTTACGTTTACTCTAGCCTGCCGATTACTTTTAAGCATTGAAGATCCTGAAAAAATTGAGAAGCTTCTGAAGCCAATACAAGACATAGCTTCTGGAACAATCTCAATGGCGATTAATTTACCAGGGACAGCTTTCAACCGTGCCATAAAAGCATCAAGGGCAATCCGTGAAGAGCTTCAGGGAATGATGAAACAAAGGAAGATCGATCTTTTGGAGAAGAGGGCATCCCCAACACAAGACCTACTGTCCCTCATGCTTCTAGCAACCGACGAGAATGACCAATTTATGAGTGAATTGGACATTTCCAGCCATATATTAGGATTCCTACATGCTGGCTATGACACTGTTAACGTTGCACTAATATTCATCGTCAAGTACCTGGCCGAGCTTCCTGAGGTGTACCAAGAGGTCCTAAGAGGTAATAAGCTAAATAATAGTGAAGAATTAATTAGTTTCAATAACTTGTTTGAGATCTTATACACATTCCCAATGTATACTTGTGGTGGGAGCAGAGCAAATGGAGATTGCAAGGTCAAAAGAACCAGGAGAGTTGCTTAATTGGGAGGACACAAGAAAGATGCGATACTCATGGAATGTTGCCAGTGAAGTATTGAGAATGACACCCCCGGTTCTTGGAACATTCAGACAGGCTATCACTGACTTCACTTATGCTGGATATAAGATTCCGAAGGGATGGAAGGTAAAGCTACATAATCGATTTCTTTTTAAGATTCATGTAATTTGGAACTGTCGAATTCCTTTAACAGTTATGATGCTTTGCAGTTCCACTGGATGGTCCAAGCCACCCACAGAAACCCAGAGTACTTTCCAAATCCAGAGAAATTTGATCCGTCGAGGTTTGAAGGAAGTGGACCAGCTCGTTATGCATATGTTCCTTTTGGAGGGGGAACTCATATGTGTCCTGGAAATGAGTATGCACGAATGGCTATACTTGTTTTCATGCACAACCTGGTGACGAAATTCAGATGGGAGAAGCTGATTCCTAATGAGAAAGTTTTGTGTCATCCATATCCAAGGCCTGATCAAGGACTTCCGATTCGCCTCCATCCTCACAAGTCCTGAATTGGCGTGCAGCCTTCTTTTTTTCGCAGCCGGTGTTTGTGTTTTCTCTCCGCGTTGTATGCATAACCAGTCACTTGTCTTTGATGCTGTGTGTGTATTAATTTCCTTCTTCTTGTAAGCCATAACTGGTGTTGGTGAGTAAAATGTGTCATCTGTTGTAGGGGGGTTCGAACAAATCAATATGAATTTGCTGTTATTGTTCATTATATACATTCCACTCCTACTCATTTGGGGTTGGGACAGCCAACAGAATGGAGGCGAATCGGAAGTCCATTTTTTATCATACAAATGAGAGTGCAAGCCAGGTTTTTGGGGGTCCCTATAACTCGCAACTTCAGTCATGGTGCAAAGACATCATTCAATCACATTCGTGTGTAACATGACTGATATGGTTTATTCATTTACACCCCAAATCTAATTGTGCTTGATAAGGAAATTGAAGTATTGATAATAGCAAGAAAAAACTCTAATAGGATACAACAAACCGAAAGGCGTACATGATACAACTGATTGTCAGAAATTCAAGTCAGGGCTTGTGAGAATGGAGGCGAATTGGAAGTCCATAAGCAGGCCTTGGCATTGGATCATATTTAACTTTCTCATTAGGTATCAACTTCTCCCATCTAAACTTTGTGACCTCATTGTGCATGAAAACAAGAATAAATACTCTTGAGTACTCAACTCCAGGACACATACGTGGCCCTCCTCCAAAAGGAACAAATGTGTGAGGAAGTGGTCCACTTCCTTGGAACCTGGATGGGCCAAACTTCTCAGGATTCGGAAAGTAGTCCGGGTTCTTGTGTATGACATTTGCAATCCAAGGTAACTACAAACATGAAGAAAGGGAGTCATCTCTGCAGTGTTTCTACTTTTAATGCTTCTTCTAAATACATACATCATGAGAGATTTTAAATGAAATTACCTTAACTTCCATTCCTTTTGAATCATATATCCGGCATAGGAGGTATCAGTAATGGCTTCTCTGAATGCTCCAATAGCTGGTGGTTTTAGTCTCAGTACTTCATTGGCTACATGTGATGATTATTTCATCTTTTCCAAAATACTCCAAATTAAGCAACTCTTTTTGTCCTTTCGATTTTGCTATTTTGCCAGCACATGCACCCATCCGATAACATATGTACAATTTTCCTTTGCTTAGCCATTCTTTCAAGCTCTTTGTGCATTACATCTGATGCTTTAAGAGCACGGTTGAAAATTAAGCAGTCCCTGGCAAATTTATTGGCAATGAACTGTGGCCACGTTCTATGTCCTCCAATAACTTGGTCAGTCTCTTGGCCATTTTCGAATGCTGGTAACCTTAACTTGTTCCTGATCACAATCTATTAGCAATTGCTGTTTCAGTACCATGTCCATTGTTCCTACAAGTTTTTGAAGAGCGTCTTCCTTGAGAAGTGCTTTGATCAGTTTTCGTAGAATTGTGAAGTCCCTGTTGCCGACTTCTTTACAAAATAATCCGGCCACCACATCTGGACTAGCTTGTTCTTATTGGAGAACAAGAATTTATTTCCATCTGCACCAGATAAGACAACCATAGGCTTCCCAATCAAAGATGTCCTGAAGATTATGGAGTACTTGTTCCTTCTCTCCGTCATGAATTTTTCAAGAGAAATGAAGATAATTATACAGAGAATCAGAAAGAGGAAAAGGATTATTGGTTCCATGACACAAACAGCTGTATCAGCTGCTGCTGAATTTGATCAAACAGCTCTTCAAGAACGCATTGAAAAGATAAAATAGTACAACATTTAAATATTTTAAGCAAGCAAGCATGTGACTGAGCACGAACTACGTTACCTTTGTGTACAAACATGATATTTGTAAGTATTTTAAGAATGAATGATTGCAAACCAGATCAGAGACCAAGATGTATTTTCTATCTATACTAATCTAAAATTTGAGTTAATCTCAAAACTTTTGATTTTCTTTTTGGATTTTTGCACTTTGCACTCCAAAAGATGTCTCGATTCCCACTTTACACCCCGAAAGATTATTTTTTCCACGTTACACCCTGAATGTCGCTATTATGTTGTGTGTGTGTGTGTGTTGTGTGTGTATGTTTGTGTACAATAACCTCGTACCTAAAAACATACTATAATATTAAAAATTGAGCATTGATAGTGCAACATTTATATTCTAAATAAAAATTTATTTGTTTCTTTAATTATGCAATTATATTTTAAATAGAATTTTAAAAGAAAATAAGAGATATAGGTGATGATTTATAAGGTTGTCTAGCATTAGAAAGTATATTGGTTAAATTAATTTTTTTAAATGAAAAACAATGGAATAAATTTTATACCATAATCAATGTAGATAAAAATTAAATCATTCTTAATCATTATTGAGCTTTTATAAATTGAGAATTTAACTTCTTAACTATAATTTTAGATAAACTAGTTATTGTCCGTACCTGAAGGCACGGTCTAAAAACAAAAATTGTCAATTATAAACATATTTGCATTCACAAATCAAAATTAAATCACAAACATAAAGGAGAGAGAAAAGAATTTAAGTACCAATTGTAGTGCGGGTGAATGATCGTAGTGGTGGTGGTGATGGGAGACGGTGATGGTTATGGTGGGCTACGACGACCGTAGTGATTGTGGTTGCTATGGGTGGCAGTAGTGATAGTAATGGTGGATTTTAGCTAACAATTATAGTAGTGGCAACCATGGGTGATGACGATGGTGGTGATGGGTAATGGGGGTGGGTGGTGGTGGGCCACAGTGATGATGGTTAATAGTGGTGGTGGTGGGGTGATGACGGTGGTAGCAATGGTGGGTTGTGGTTGTGGGTAGTGACGATGGTGGTGGTGGATAACAACAAGTGTTGGGTGGGCGACAATGGTGATGGATGGTAGCAAATGATGATGGTGGTGATTGGTGGCAGCGATGGTGAACCACGACAGGTGGTAGTGGGTTATGATAGTAGGTGGCGGTGGGTGGTGGTGGAAAACGATGGAGATGGTGGTAGTGGGAGATGGTGGTGGTGGGATGATGGTAATAATGATAATAAATATAGGAATGACATGATGGTGGTGGTGGGTCATGGCAGTAAGCAACAATAGTAGTAATCGGTGGTGGTGGGTGGTAGTGATGGTGGTGGTGGTAGATTTGCTTGTTGTAGGGTGGCAGCGGTGGCGGTGGTTGTTGTGGGGTCGTAGCGGTGGCGATGGTGGTGGTGGTAGTTGTAGTGGTGGTGGCAGTGGACAGTGCAGGTAGTGGTGGGGGCAGGGGCGGTGGTAGGGTGACAACATCGGTGGTAGTGGTAGGGGTGGGGGTGGTTGTGGTAGTGGGATGGCGGTAATGGTAGTGGTGGTAAGGGTAAGGGTGGGGCGATGACGGTTATGGTGATAAGGGTGGTGGTAGGGTGGTAACAACAGTGGCAATCCAGGTGATAGAGGTGGTTGTGACAGAGGTGATGGTGGCTACAGCACCAATGGTAGTGGTGACGGTGATGATGGGGCAGTGAGGTTGTTAGGTGGCTACAGCAATAGCGGTGATGGTTATTTTGACAGAGGTGGTGGTATGGTAATGGAGGTGATAGTGGTGGTGGTGGGGAGGTGACGGTTGTAGTGGTGCGGTGGCGATGATGATTGTAGCAGAGGTGATGGTGGGGTGACGATGGTGGCAGTAATAGTGGTAATGGTAGTGTGGGTAGTGGTGGTGGTGAAGCTATTTCAAACACTACTTTTTAAAAAAAAAAAAAAAGTGCTTATGATAAGTTAAAAATTCTAAAAACACTTTTACAAAATATCCCCAAACACACATTTAGTGAGTTTATTTTTCCTATTCAATTTGGGAAGTTAATATTAACCGTCAGATTAATTTTAAAGTAAAATTTAAAATGATATCAGCCGTGAAAAATAAAAGTTATTTGGTTTACCGTTTGAAATTTGAATTATCTTGTATTTTTTTATATAGACTAGCTATTATCCGTGTCTAAAGGTACAGAGTAATAAAAAAAATTGTCAACAATAAACATATTTATATTCACACCTAAAATCAAATCACAAGTATAGATTAGAGATAAATAAATTTAAACATTGGTTATAGTGGAGGTGGGCAGTGGTACTAGTGGTAGGACAGTTTCAAACACTATTTTTTTTTTTTAAATATTTATGAGAATTTATAAGTCTTAAAAATATTTTTAAAAAGTAACCTTAAACACACTTTTAAGAACTTATTTTTCCTATTAAATTTGGAATGATAATATTAGTCATCGGATTAACTTTAAAATAAATTTTAAAGAAATTTCAATCGCTAAAAAATAAAAATTATTCTATTTATCATTTGAAATTTAAATTATATTATACTTTATTATATAAATATATTTATATTATGGAAAAATTTCATCAACACCCGCTCTAGTTAGACATAAATTCAAAGACACCCCCTTTCCATTNGTGGTAAGGGTAAGGGTGGGGCGATGACGGTTATGGTGATAAGGGTGGTGGTAGGGTGGTAACAACAGTGGCAATCCAGGTGATAGAGGTGGTTGTGACAGAGGTGATGGTGGCTACAGCACCAATGGTAGTGGTGACGGTGATGATGGGGCAGTGAGGTTGTTAGGTGGCTACAGCAATAGCGGTGATGGTTATTTTGACAGAGGTGGTGGTATGGTAATGGAGGTGATAGTGGTGGTGGTGGGGAGGTGACGGTTGTAGTGGTGCGGTGGCGATGATGATTGTAGCAGAGGTGATGGTGGGGTGACGATGGTGGCAGTAATAGTGGTAATGGTAGTGTGGGTAGTGGTGGTGGTGAAGCTATTTCAAACACTACTTTTTAAAAAAAAAAAAAAAGTGCTTATGATAAGTTAAAAATTCTAAAAACACTTTTACAAAATATCCCCAAACACACATTTAGTGAGTTTATTTTTCCTATTCAATTTGGGAAGTTAATATTAACCGTCAGATTAATTTTAAAGTAAAATTTAAAATGATATCAGCCGTGAAAAATAAAAGTTATTTGGTTTACCGTTTGAAATTTGAATTATCTTGTATTTTTTTATATAGACTAGCTATTATCCGTGTCTAAAGGTACAGAGTAATAAAAAAAATTGTCAACAATAAACATATTTATATTCACACCTAAAATCAAATCACAAGTATAGATTAGAGATAAATAAATTTAAACATTGGTTATAGTGGAGGTGGGCAGTGGTACTAGTGGTAGGACAGTTTCAAACACTATTTTTTTTTTTTAAATATTTATGAGAATTTATAAGTCTTAAAAATATTTTTAAAAAGTAACCTTAAACACACTTTTAAGAACTTATTTTTCCTATTAAATTTGGAATGATAATATTAGTCATCGGATTAACTTTAAAATAAATTTTAAAGAAATTTCAATCGCTAAAAAATAAAAATTATTCTATTTATCATTTGAAATTTAAATTATATTATACTTTATTATATAAATATATTTATATTATGGAAAAATTTCATCAACACCCGCTCTAGTTAGACATAAATTCAAAGACACCCCCTTTCCATTCTGAATCTTCACTATACTCCCTTCTGGTTTACACTATTAAATCAAAGACACCACATCCCCATTCTGAATCTTCACTACACTCCCTTCTGGTTTACATTATTAAATCAAAGACACCCCTTACCGTAACCGGCCGGTACTGACAATCAAAAAAGTGTTGATGTCATACCAAATTTTTTATGAAATGCCAATTTTACCCTTCTTATTTCACATGAAACCCTTGTCCCCCCCCTCTCTCTCTCTCTCGCCTCAACAACTCAATCACCTAACTACAAAAACATAATACAAGGAAAAAATTTAAAATAATTTTTAAAAAAAAATTAAAAAAAATTGGTAACACCGTATGCTTAAAATACAAGGAAAAAATTAAAAAAAAAAAATTTTAAAAAAACCTATAACACCGTACGCTTAAACATAATACATGAAAGAAATTTAAAAAAATCGATAACACCGTACGCTTAAACATAATATAAGGAAAAAATTCAAAATACTTTTTAAAAAAAAAAATCGGTAACACCGTACACTTAAACAAAATACAAAAAAAAATTTAATAATTTTTTTAGAAATATTTTTTTAAAAAAAAAACCAGTGACATCGTACGCTTAAACATAATATAAGGAAAAAATTCAAAATAATTTTAAAAAAAAACGGTGACACCAAACGCTTAAATATAATACAAGAAAAATATTCAAAAAAAATTAAAAAAAAAATATGTAATACTGTACGCTTAAATATAATACAAAGAAAAAATTTAAAATAATTTTTTTAGAAATTTTTAAAAAAAACAAACGGTGATACCGTACACTTAAACATAATACAAAGAAAAAAATTCAAAATAATTTTAAAAAAAAACGATGACACCGTACGCTTAAATATAATATAGGGAAAAAAAATTCAAAATAATTTTTTTAGAATTTTTTTTAAAAAAAACCGGTGACATCGTATGTTTAAACATAATACAAAAATAAAAATTCAAAATTATTTTTTGAAAAAAATTTTAAAAAAAAAATTGATGACACCGTACACTTTAACTATATAATATTTATATATAGTTTAATAGTATTGCACATGACACTTGGAAATAGGAATATATATTTATATATCGTTTAAAGAAAAATAATTGGCGAATATGTAATTTTTAATAAAATTCATGGGTAAAATAGTAAAATGTGCTTTTCCGTCTTGTCCATTAGCTGACCAACACTAACAGGGGAGGTCAGTGAAGTTTCAAAAAAGATAAGGGGTGTCGTTGAAGATAGACCTATTTAGAGGAGGTGTAAATGAAATTTTTCCTCATATTGTATATGGTCACATGATGGTTGATTGAATGTTGGCATATTCAAATACAATAACATCAGAACATTTAAATAATGTAGTGTAATCATATCCAGATCTAAATAATCGATAAAAAAATTACTTTAAATTTGGATTAGTATTAAAATCAGTTTTTCTCATTCCTAGCCTCGGTGACTCGCTTCACTGGAGCCATTTTTGTTGTAATGCTTCCTTTGTTTTGGTTCACCAATAAAGGTGTTTAGACCAATTTTTGCGTATTTTAATTAATTTTTTTATTTGATCTAGTTAAAAACATGTCATCTACACAATAACTAAAGTATTAATGAAGGGAAAATTCTTCAAAGTCGGACTTTAAGAGATTGTAAAAATTCAAATTTAAGACATCTGAATTTACAGTTTGTTACCATTTCAACTATTAATTACCAAGCTTCCCCCACCAGTTAACAAGTGCCACTGCCACCTTATTGAAAGAGAGAGAGCAGTCACCTTACAGGTATGTATCCCTCTGCTGCAGATTCAAACCTACGCGTTTTTGACTAGTAATGAAAGAGAATATGAAAACCAGTGCGTTTCTCGTGGTAAGGGCACAGGGAAATTTGTTTGAATCTTGCATGGGCAAATGAGATGGCGTCAAATAAATCAACTAAAGGAAAGCTCAGTTTCTTAATTTATGTTTCGAAAACACTAAGGTATTGGTTGTTATGATGGGTATTCATTCACATGAAAATCTGTTGCTCCACCCTAATTTTGTTGGCATAGTGTTCGATACAATGCAACAGAGGGTACACTGGCGGGCCACCCCCCACACCATAGGCCTTTGGTTACAAATCTCCCCCCCCCCCCCCCCCCCCCCCCCCCCCACCCCCCACAAAA